GATGGCATTGGTACATGCCACCTCAATGGGATTGAATTGGAATCCCCTGGTATGTTTCTAACTCTACCGTTTGGGGCAACAACTAACCAAGCACCAAAAAGGAAACCTGTTAAAGTGAAATGAAGTACTGTTATTTTAAGAGTGTGTTTTCAAAACAGAACTACTATCCCCTGAACTCTGCCCTTCATATAACTACCTCAATATTTCTACACTTAGGTGCTTAATGAGTATATAAAACTGAAATGTCTAAAACTCAGCTTCTAAATTGCGTTCCCTATCTCTTTTTCTCACTGTCTTCCTAATTTCATGTGGTCATTTACTCAGATTAAAACTCTAGAATTTGTTCTTGACTCTTCTCTTTCAGCTATATTCCATACACAACTACCAGCAGTTCTTAGAAGCTCTACTTTTAGATGATATCCAAAATCTTAACTCTTGCCATAGACTCCTCTGCCACCACCTGGATCTATACCACCATCATCTTTCTTTCAGTTGTATTGTTGTGGTAGACTCCTATTTGGGCTTCTCCTGCTGTTGGATCAAGGAGATCCTGTTGAAACCTAGATCATGTTTCTTCCCTAACTGTGTCAAAGGTTGCCTATCTCACTCAGAAACAAAGCCTTTACTGTGTCTCATAAGACCCTGTACGACCTGGACCACATCCCCATTCCTTTGTTTGACCTTACTCCTGAATGCTGATATGGCTCTGAATTCTGCTCCTTTGGTTCTGTCACCTCATGGTTCTCCCAGTTGAGCACCTATACCCCTGCCATTGTACCTTTGCACATGCTCATTTCTTCTGCCTGGAATGTTCTTTCTTCAGAAATCTTTGTAACTTGTCCTTTTCTTTTAGTTTTCACTCAGATAACACCTTTTAAGTGAAATCTTCTTCCCTAGAAATATTTTTTAAATTTTCAATAGAACGACCACAATAGTTTATGTCTCCCTGCTTAATTTGTTGTATTTCCTGCTCATCACTACCTCATATACTTTACATTTCAGTTATTTAAAAAATTTATCATTCTCACTAAGATGTATTCTTTTGACGGCAAGTATATTTGTGTGCTCCTCAATCCTCAGCACCTAGGAAACTGTCAAATTTTGTAGACTGACTGTTTACTGAGTATGGTACAATATACTTACCATATAATTTTGATGTGTTTCATTTTATAAGTGTAAATTTCATAAACCTTAGGAAATTATCAAAATTAGAATAAATAAACATATATCTCTTTTCATTTTATTCCACTCTCCTCTAGGGAAAACCAGGTCAAAAGGGGTCTATAGGTGAACCAGGACCAGAAGGCTTAAAGGTAAAGCAACTGACTTTATTATCAATTTTAAAATACAGTTTTCAAAGATATGAAAGATGAACACATGCCAACTTACAAGGAACCTGTTAGATATTAAAACTAATTCAAAGATAACTGAGAAGTTATTTATCTCTACGTATCTATCTACATATATCTACTCATGTGTATTTCAATATTTGTACAGATATGCAATTTAATAAATATGTATTTGGATAATAATTGTCGGTTAGATACAGGGCAATAAACCATAACTTTAGGGGTTACCTATTACACTGGTAAGAAATCTACAGATTAATATATTTGCACTAGTCTGAGTCCTTTAATCAATAGTATACAGAGAATCTAAGTGTATTCACTAGACAGTCACTGGGATGCCTTCATTACTTTGTGACATTGAAAGGATGTATAATCCACTTTTTTTCCTTATTTCCAATTTTTAGATGATTTTTATGGTACCAATAGATGTAATGTGACATAGCAGCTTAATATTTACAGCCTTAAAGAGACATGTTTATAAGAATTGGTGATTTTTGTGAATTAAAAATTAAACTAAAAAGTGAAAAGACTTACAGCATTAGTGCTAAATTTTCTAAAACTAGAATATATTATATGCTATTGTATATTAAATATATATAATTTATGATGTTAGAACCTGAGGAAAAACTAAACAACCCTTTTCAAAGTCATAAAAAATATAGCTAGTGTATTTTAATGCATTCATATGGCTGAAATTATCTGAGGGGGAAATATATATGCAGATTCTTTCTCATGTTACATAATTTCAAATCTTGGCCCTGTAAATAGTCCAATGTATAACTTATGGAAACATTTGAAAATAAATCCCAATCTTAAGATGTCAGTTTTACTCATATATATTACACATTTTATACCCTATATATTAGCTATCACAAATCAAAGGAAACATGATATTTATGTCTTTATCATATATTTTCTTTGATTTGTATCTAATATATAGGGTATGAAAAAGTAATGTCTATGAATGAAACTGACATCTGGATATTTCATTATTGTTTGTAGCCCTTATTTATATATCTGTGGATCATTGGTCTTTCTACTTTCTACATGCTGAATTCTTTATTTGATAGAGGATTTAGCCTGTGGCTATAGTAAATTGAAAATATGTTATTGCAAAAATTGTAAGGAAAAGGAAGGAAGGAAAGGAGAGTAGCAAAGGTGAAAAGAGTTCTGTGATTAAAATTATATATATGAAATACATGATATCTGTTATCTTTATATAAATATAAAAATTTAAACATAGTTACCCTATGATCCAGCAGTTCCACTCCTAGGAATATACTCAAAAGAATTGAAAACAGGTGTTCAAGCAAAGATTTATACACAATTGTTCGTACCAGCAGTAGTCACAATAGCTAAAAAGAAGAAACAAAACAAATGTCCAAAACTCCATGGATTATTGGATAAACAAAATGTGAAATGAAGTGGAATATTATTTGATCATAAAGGGAAGAAGTCACTAATACATGCCATAACAAAGATGAACCTGAAAGAAGCCAGTCATATAAGACCACATGTTACATGATTTTATATACGTGAAATATTCAGAATGGGAAAATTTTGTAGACGGTAAGTAGATTGTGGTTGCTCATGGCTTGTGGGGGTGAATGGATAAGGAAGTCATTGATTATGAGTACCAGCTTCTTCTCCTAGTGATGAACATGTTCTAAAGTGGACTGCATATCTGTGAATACACTAAAACCACAGAACAGTACTCTGTAAATTCATGAACTCTTTTGTATGTTAATTTATATTTCAATAAAGCTGTTTTTAAAAAATTAAAAAAATCCTGGAGGATTCAAAAATTCTTAATTTAAAAATATCAGAAAATTGAAATGCAGTATTTACAAATAGAATGCTTAATCAGTTATCCTTTACTGAGCCGGCGCCGTGGCTCAATAGGCTAATCCTCCACCTTGCGGCGCCGGCACACCGGGTTCTAGTCCCGGTTGGGGCGCCGGATTCTGTCCCGGTTGCCCCTCTTCCAGGCCAGCTCTCTGCTATGGCCAGGGAGTGCAGTGGAGGATGGCCCAGGTGCTTGGGCCCTGCACCCCATGGGAGACCAGGAAAAGCACCTGGATCCTGGCTCCTGCCATCGGATCAGCACGGTGCGCCGGCTGCAGCGGCGGCCATTGGAGGGTGAACCAACGGCAAAGGAAGACCTTTCTCTCTCTGTCTCTCTCTCACTGTCCACTCTGCCTGTCAAAAAAAAAAAAAAAAAAAAAAAAAAAAAAAAAAAAAAAGTTATCCTTTACTGATATTATTCCCTGAATGCCAGATACTTCTAGGAAGTCCAAATATGAGCTGCCACTCGGTCAAAATGGCAAGAAATGAATCTTAGTCTTCACTAACGTGGTTTCTGTGTTACCCAGAAAGTGGAAGTTCTTAATGTTCACTCCTCCCTCATTGTTACTGATATCTGTATTTCAGAGCATCTTAAAGCTGTTTACTAGACCTGCCACTGCACAGGAGAGCATTTGGAAGTCGGTTAAGGGTCACCAGCTTTCAGAGAGCCCTAGAAGCTTTGTTCTCTTCCCAAGCTTGGGGACATATTTTTCTCTTTCTCTTCCTCTCTTACACTCAAACACAAGTCACCTCTTACTTTCAGGATCAAAAGCAAGAATGCAAGTCATCTGCAAGTTATTTCTGCTTTCTGCCTAACCCAAACATCCCTTCAGGATAAGTAGCACACAAGTTCCATCTCTGTTTTTCACCTTTGAGAAGATCAACTTATGAAGAAGGAGGAAACAAATCCTAGAAAACTAATAATCCTCATATATATATATATATATATATGTGTGTGTGTGTGTGTATCCTTTTATAGAAATGTATAAAAGCAGTCTATCAAAAACTATATATTACAACCTGCTACAATGCTTTACTCTCTTCTATCTGAATACATACTAAAATTGAAGATAAAATTTGTTTAGACTTCAAAAGTTTACACAATTTTATTTCAAAGTGTTTATTCATGAGAAATATTAGGTTTCAGTGCTTTAAATCAGTAGTATAGAAATGTAATGTGCACCACAGATATGATGTGAGACACATTAATTGGAAGACAGGAGACAGTAGGTTTCTGAAGGGTATCCTGCATTAGAAGTAGTAAACATCATAAGAACACTAACAGAGCAGGTAGAATCATTATCCAATAACAAAATCACAGGTCTTAGTTCTTATCTATAAATATTATCCTTGAATGTAAATGTATTAAATTCACCAACAAAAGGACTTAGGTTGGCTGAATGGATTAAAAAAAAAGGGACCCCACTATATGCTGATTACATGAAAGTCACTTCACAAAGATATACACAGACTGAAAGTGAAGGATTAAAAAAGATATACTAGGCAAATGGAAACCAAAAGCAAGCAGGCATAGCTATCCTGATATCAGATAAAATATATTTTAAATCAAAAACTGTAAAAAGTGATAAAACAGGACATTATATTTTAATAAAAGATTTAATTCAGCAAGAAGATATACCACAAATATGTCTATACCCAACACCTAAAGGGAGAGATACACTCCAGTACAATAACAGAGGGTGACTTCAACACCACACGCTCATCAATGGATAGGTCATCCAGACAGAAAATCAATAAAGTTACATTGGAAACATACCATTGAGCAAATTTACCTAACAGACATTTCACCTAACAGCTACAGAATAAACATTCTTCTCATCGGCACACAGAACAGTTTCTAGGTTAGACCACATATTCGGCCATAAATCAAGTCTCAGCAAATTTAAAAAGGTTGAAATCATGGCATGTATGCTCTCAGACCATAAAGGAATAAAACTAGATATTGACAGGAAGAACAATAGAACACAAGCACTTGGAAGTTAAACAACATGCTGCTGAGTGATCAATAGGCCGTTGAAGATATTAAAAAGAAAATCAAAAACTTTCTTGAAAGAAAACAAAATGAAAACACAAATGTATCAAAACTTGTGGGATAAGGCAAGAGCAGTTTTAAGATGGAAGTTTATAGTATTAAATGATTACATTAAAAAGGGAAACGGCGCCAGCACTGTGACGTAGCAGGTTAAAGCCATTGCCTGCAATGCCAGCAACACATGTGGGCACCAGCTAGAGTCCTGGCTGTTCCACTTCTAATCCAGCTCTCTGCCATGGCCTAGGAAAGCAGTGGTAGATAGCCCAAGTCCTTGGGCCCCTGCACCAACATGAGAGACCTGGAGGAAGCTCCAGTCTCCTGGCTTTGGATCAGTCCAGCTCTGGCCTTTATAGCCATTTGGGGAGTAAACCAGCAGATAGAAGACCTCTCTCTGCCTCTACCTCTGTAACTCTGCCTTACAAATGAATAAATAAATCTTTAAAAAGGGGAGGGGAGAAAATGTCTCTAATTAAAGATCTAATGATGTGTCTTGAAGACTTAGAAAAATGAGAACAAACCAAGCCCAAAATCAGCTGGAGACAAGATATAATAAGGATCAGAACAGAAATAAATGAAATTGAAGCTAAAAAAAATTACAAAAGATGCACAGAACAAAAAGTTGTTTTTTTGAGAAGGTAAACAAAATAGGTAAACCTCTGGCCAGACTAACCAAAAAGAGAGAGAGAGAGAAATTCAAATAAACAAAATTAGAGATGAAAAAGGAGACATTACAGCTGATACACTGAAACTACTATGAAGAACTTTATGCTAATAAACTGGGAAACCTTTAAGAAATGAGTAAATTCTTGGATTCATATAACCTACCAAAATTAAATCAAGCAGATACAGAACAGCCTAAACAGACCTGTAACAAGCAATGAAATGAAGCAGTAATCAAAAGTCTTCCATCAAAGAAAAGTTCAAGACCTGATGGCTTTACTACTGAATTCTACAAAACATTCAGAGAAGGAGCAACTCCAGTACTCTTCAAATATTCCAAAATATTGAACAGGATGGAACTCTGCCAAACTCTTTTCTGAAGCCATAATTACTTTGATACCAAAAC